CCGGGCCAGAAATTGAATTTGCACACTTCTGCGACATTGTAACTACAAAGCGTTTTCTCGGTAATTTTGCCAGCGGCTGTTTGCCAAACTTTTCCTTCCGCTGAAGAATACCATTCGTTGAAAGTATGTTTTTTCCTGAAAAACTGACTGAGTTCCGGAGTTCGAAATTTCTAAGAAAAGCTAGAAGTGTATGGATAACTATTAAATAAATTTCCCTTCACCCATAATTAGCGAAACCTTCAACTTTATGGGCTTTTAATTGAAATGCCAAGAGAGGCACAGCGACGCAGAGTAATACCTCTATATATTTCGCTACACATTCATTAAAAAACTTTCGGTGCAAGAGCAACACGTTCCGAGTTGCAAAAGTTTTGCGATTGTCAAAAACTATAAGAAAAGGCAAGCCAACCGCAAAAAAGAAAGCCGCACAAAAAGTTCTGGGGTCGGAAGCTGCCTTTGCATTCGTGTAGAAATAAACAAACTAAGCCAAAAATAGAGTAAAATCAAAATAAGGCAGAGCAGCAGTAGCAGCAGCAGCAGAATTAAACTGCAACTGGTTTGTGTAAAACTTTGACATTTGCTGCCAAAAAGAAGAGGGCGGAGATTGCAAATTAAAACAATGTCTGCAGTGGAGTTCCGGAGATCCGGCAGCAATTTCCAGGGTCCGCGCTGATTAAACTTCGGCAGGGGGTGGGGATGGAAAATCTGAAGAGTGGCTGACCGGTTCCAATCTACTTTTCCGCAGTTCTCCGCTTCTGCCAGTAAATCTTTAATCAGTCCCGTCGTTTCCCAGGGATTTCCCCCGGCTACAGATGGCCAGGCAATTTGTCCCCGTCCTTGTGCTCCACGTTTTTTGTACTCGCATCCACACACTTGTCATGCTATTTATGAGTTTATTATTTTTTCGCTACTCTATTATTTAGCCACCCCCTATGATGCACCCGCGATCCCACATCCTCCTCCTGCTTCTGCTGAGCCAAATCCTTTTGCTGGCGCTTAAAACTTTCTTTCATTGCAAGTGCTGCAATTTTTCACAACTTTCTGAACAGCATTTTTTCAACATTCCTCCGACTCTTGGTCCCCAGGCTCCAGCTCATGCGTTTATGGCCATGTTATTTATTTAGTGGCTTTATTTTGCATACCCTTTGAGAGGTTATGCAAACTACATAAATGACGCCAAGGAATTTATTTTTGTTTAATATATTTCCTTTTAATAAAAATGTATTTATATTTATTTATATAAATTCAAAAAATTGTTTTATAGTTACTTGTACATTTTTAGGTCACATTTCTTAGGGTACTAAAATGAAAAATGAAATTTTATTTAGTAAGTAAACTAAAACAACATTCTATAAAATTTAAAACGCCTGAAAAAATTTTTAAAATTTTAGGTACTAAATCGTACGCATGAAATGGTCTAAATTCACATTATTAATCTCAATTATTTTCGCTATCGAAAAATATCAATTATTAAGTTTAATTAGTTTGTGCCAGCAACATGGAATTCATTAAAAACGTTTAAAATGCAATTATAAATTTCGAGAAGCTTTTGCTTTGCAGAGCATTTGATGGCTTCCATTTCGAAAACAACGTTTTAATTTGCTTCTTTTCCCGGGAATTTTTGTTTTAATCTTCTTTTTCACAGTTGCTTAAATTGTTTGTAATTTTTTGTCAGTGGCGGTTGTTTCTGGGTGTTTCGGTTTCATTATGACAGCAGACGACGACGAACTGCCTTGGAGTTTTCCGACTAGTGTTGTTTTTACTCTATTTGCTTGTGCTCGCATTTATGTGTGTATGCTGGCTAGATAAATAGTTTTTCGCCCCTCCTCGGCGGGTTGCTTTTAATTATTGCCGAGCTGCAGCCGCAAATGGGAAATGCCAAAAATTATGAGAAAACTGTTTCGGAATTAGTTCAAAGAAATAATAAGCAGAATTTTGATTGCCATTGATGTTGGTCAAATCAAGTATTTACCGAAGTTTCACTTAAATTTTCCCTCTTGCACAAATCCCAGAACAAAATACACTTTTAATGGTAATCAGAAACCTTCGATTTTTGCCGGGGCCAAAGTTAAAAGTTTTACTAATGGTGCAACAAATGTTGTTATTTATCATTCATGCCGCATGCTGCATGCAATCGAAACACCGAAAAGTGCCCGGAAAACCCAAGGAAATCTCTAACTAAACTCAAGTTGGCAAGCACTCCGGGCCATTGGCCCTCCCCAAAATACTCGAATGGGGGGCCAAGTTTTCGCAACTTCAACTTCACAAGACAAGTCGCCCCAAAGACACTGGCGAGATTTGCTCTCAAGTATTTACCACTCATATGCATAGAATGTGCAACAGACAGCAGCCAAGTGGCGGAGCACTTATTTTATTGACACGCAGACAAAAATGCCCAAGGGAGACAGTTCCATATACGCCGATACGTTCTTTGTACGATTCCGACACCTGCAATACTCTCTTTTCCCAAGTTGATAATTTCACAAGTTTTCTTTTTCACTTCGCCTCGCTTGATTTGCATTTGTACAGGGCGTTTGTATGGTGTGGGTATCCCTTTAAAGGGACGAAAATAAACGATAAATGGCTCAAAAGGTTTCCCCCAGTGCACACGAGCATTTTGATTCGGATTGTTCCGCAATTGAACAACTCCTCGCTTTCTGTCTGAGATAGAAATTTTGAATTAATTTTGTTTTGATTCTCCCCGCTCGTGATTTCCTTCCAGCACCGAGATGCTCATAGTATTTTTCATATTTCATTGGAAAATTAAATTCTTGGCATATTTTTTGGCCCAGCAAGCAGGCCATGGACCGCAACAGTAGAAGCAGCCGGAGCAGCCTGGAGACCGAGACCCAAATTCGGACCCAACTAGACAACAACAGCTGCCACGGGTCTGCCGTCAGTTGTCCTCTTGGAAAACAGCATTTCCATTTCTGGGTTTTCACTCTCATTTTTAGCATGACAAGCGTTTGTGTTATTGAACAATCGCCGGAGAAATCTAGAAAAAATGAAAAAGGGCAGCAGATATAATACAAAAAGGAAGAAAACCTTGAAGGTCTAAGTAGTAAACACAGCGCATTCACCGTATTTTAAGTATTTGCACGTGGACTCATAGATTGGCAAATTTAAATATTAATTTAATAAAAAAATATAAAATCTTCTTAATAACCTTTTTTTTTATTTCGATCTCATAACTGTCATTTATTTACTTTTTTTACTTCAGAAATGATAAAATATTTGGTAAAATGTTATTTTTAAAATACAACTCATAACAGTTACGGTCCCTGGATTAAATGTTTTACCCTGAACTCAATTACTTACATTTTCGGCAGGCCTATTGACTTTATCGTACTTTCCCTTTAACCAGTCCATCATAGGCCAAAGAAATGGATTCCAAAGTGCAGGCTGCATCGTACATCATTTACCGTCGACCATTTTGTGAAGGGAAAAACAATTAACTTTCCACAATGAAGCCGAAGCTTAAGGATACAGTAAGTATCAAACCAGTGACTTTTGAATGCCATCGTTCCTATCACTTTTCAGCCAGGTGGTGTGACTTACCTTACCTCTCACTTTTCCCCTGAGGGACGCTTGGATATAATAGTTTCAAAATACTACCATTGGGATCATGGGCTGTCGGCCTTCGATCCTTTGCTAGCAGCAATCCATAACCTTTCGGCTGACTTCTTATCACACACTCCCATACGCCACTTATCGGTGCTGTCTCTGTGCCGCGCTTCTGTTATCTCTGCTCTTCTTGCAATCAATCAACTACAATCGCATGAGGGGCAACTGGGACTCCGGTTCTCTGGATTGGCCTCTCTCTATGGTTTGGCTGTTGATTTTACTACAAAATAAATACGCACCGCACAGCTGGAGGAAAGTGGGGTGTGTGGGCAGGGATGAGAGTCGGTGGAATAAATAATATAAAGTCCAAACTGATAAGCAAAACATCGGTGAGAGCAGAGCTTCGGTTGACGGTTTAAAATCGAAATCAAATCAAAACAAGAAGGGGCACACATTTGAAGCCTAGAACGAATCAAAGATGCCCTAAAAATATGTGGGATTAATTGGTGGTCTCGTTATCATTCCTTTTTTGAGGAAGAGTATTCATAGGGCAGACACCCCCTGCAAATCCTTTGAAATATGGCATGACCAAAGGCATTTATGTGGGAGACAAGCCAGCGGGAGCCTTTTCGGGCAGTCCGGCTACGATAACATGAGCTGACAGCCATTAGGAACGGACTGCAGCGGTGACTTTGATTGTGTTGGCAGCATGCGTGTGATATACGCGCGACCATTTCATTCATGTCCCGAATTTGGCCTCAACTCCAGTCGCCAGTCGCCAATCTCCGTGTTCCTATTTCCATTCATTCAGCACGCATTTCGAAAACCGAGACGATGGTTAACGAAAAAAGACACAGGGAACGGCAATCCTTATCTACCAGAAGGCCTGACATCTCACACTCGAAAAAATAAACACCTTTCGATTTCCCTTTTTTTTAAATATTCTCTCCATTTCTAAATCACCAAGATATAGAACAATATTTTTAAAAATTTGATTGGGGATAAATTTTTACCCACTCGGGTGAGATGTGTAAGAAAATGTGGTATACAAAACAATTCCTGAATTCACCTCTTTCTCCAAAATAAAAGATATGGATTTGAATAGTTTAAAAAGATATTAAAAAAAGTTTTCAAGAATAAATTACAGAACTAAAAATATTTTGTTTTATATTTTTTAAAATCTGAAATCCAAATAAATAAATCAAAGGATTTCTTTAAGCAATAAGAAAGTTGAACAGAAAGTTGAATATTTATTTTATTTTGAGTCTTAGGTGAGTTTTTTTCAGTGCACCGCTGTGTTACAGGGCGTGTGTCCCTGTGTTTGTGTGGGTTGTCGATGGTCGGCTCAGCCCGAGAGCCTGCGAACGAACGAGCTTCAGAATCGGAATCGGAATCAGCATCAGCCAGCATCCATTGCCTCATTCGTGTTTGCCGCTTCGTGGGCAACGGACGCTTCCTCAGAACTCAGAACTCAAGTGGAGTGACGAGCACGAGAACGGAACCGGAAACGAAAGCGATAGAGAGAGAGAGAATAAGCCTGTTGAAGTTTTGGCGGCGCGTTCGAACCGGAAGTAAGGATAAATTCACTGTTTTTCTGACTTGGCTGGCACTTGTACGCCATCCTGTTGCGCCGTCGCATTTTATTTCTTGGTTTCTGCGTTCGTGTGAGTGGGTTAGTTGGCCTGTGCAAGTGTGTGCCTAACGTACCGGAAATGAGCCTGAAGCTCATTAATGTGTGCTGTTTTTTTCACCATAAAGTGCACTGAAATGGGGCAAAATGCGATTACGTTGCAGAGCCCAAATGTAGCGGAAAATGTGAAAAAAGGCTGGAAAGTTTCCGAAAATAACCTCAAACTGGGAAAATCAGTGCGCCACATGTCGTTCAAATCGTTCGTTAACATCGCATACGTGTTGAAAATGTGGATTTTAAATCGGAATCTGTCCCGCAAGCAGATAAGATCGGGTCAAGAGTTCAATAAAAAACAAGAGGGAATAGTCGCAGTCATTTAATCAATGTCGGGTTTTATAAATAAAGTGTGTGATGTGATAAGCAACTGTCGGGGAAGAGCAGAGAGAAATCTTTCAGTCCCAGACTGTCTCCCTACTTTTATTGTGAAATCTTTTGCAACGAAACTATGAAATGACAATTGTGTTATCAAGTTATAAAAAATCTATTAAGGAACCATTTTAAAACTGTTTTTATGATTAAAATTTTAAACTGTGACGGGAGTTCTTTAAATCATTCATTACATTTCCTTTACAAATGAAATACAACCTCTAAAGAGATTATAATCGGTGCAAAAAACAGATCAACAAAATAGCCAGAAACGTGCGAGTTTTTCGAGCTGATAACTGTTAATTGATAAGGGATCTCAGAATGAAATCAGCTGAAAACTGGAATAAAAATTGGATCCGCTTCCGCAGCTAAGTGAAAATGAGATCACCCTTAAATAAATTAATTCATGAAATAAAAAGTGTGTGCATGTGAGTTAGGGTTCACCCTTTAAAAGTGGACCAACAAAAAATTTTCTTCACAGTTTTAAATGTTGCTAAATGTTAGGAATTTCCTTTGTTGATATTCCTTAAACGAAAACTTATTTAATTTTTAGTTAATAATTAATAAAAACCAAAATTTGTATCTGTGATCTTACTTAAAAGCGAAGAACTAGCTAATAACGTATAGAGTTTGTAAAAAATAAAAACAGACGAAAAATAAGATAAGTAAATTTTTAATAATCATTACACTTGAATAACAAGGTTCACCAGTCTTTTGGGATATCCTTAAAAATAAATATTTTTGTAAGCCATAAATGTCTTCTTTCTATGAAAGTTGTACGCAAGCTCTTTGGATTTAGTTTTGGCGACAGTTTCTTGATTCCCTTCGCTTTGCTGAAAAGGAGCTTGAAAATATTTTTTATCCCTAACACAATCCTCTGGGGATTCCTTAGCCTTTGGCGCATTTATTGTTTTCCCCACAACATGCCGTAAGCTCGGTACTTTCCAGCTGAGTCGCACACATGAAGCACAAAACACTCGCCGGTGACAGATTCAGATTGTGCAGGTGAAAGGATTACGGCTTCTGCGACGCCCTTCAATGTCACCAGGCCTGTCAACGGCTCACGGAGAGCATTAACGAGGCCCCACTGTGCGGCGTTCCCTTAATTTCCTCAAGCGATCTGTCCACTTGTTGGTCACCACTTAGCCCCAAGTCAGCCCAAAAATGTCGCTCCCAACGGTTGACATCAATCTGCCTTGGCAAACGGGGTGTGCAGACCAGAAGCTCCTGCATATGTCTTGCTCTTAAACATGATAAAGCACCAGGATTAATAGAGGTGAAGTGGGAGACGAAAATAAGCCAGCTGAAAGGAGTAGCAACTCTGTCAAAATGAAGTGCAGAAACTAGCTGGATGTATATGAGTGAAAATACTTATTTAAGGCTTCATTATGACCCGCATAAATCCCATCTGTTCTTATAAAAGCCCTTCCCAGACTAGACTCCCCCCAAATGGCTCAAATGGTTAAAGACCTCGAGAGCAACACGTGCATTCTTCTTTCAATTAGGGACCATATAAGAAAGCCGGCCGGGGAGACTGTGAAAAGGAGCTTAAGCAGATGGCTGCTGGCTGGAAACTAGTTCCCTTTTTAGGCTTCCTCCTCCCCACGCCACTTGGCCATAATTTTTTTAATTACAAAGCCATAAAAATTAAACGAACCAAAAGTGCGGCTACGACGACTGCAACTAAGGACTAAGTAGCCCAACGACAGGAGCCACAGGACAGCAACAGGAACAACATCGGCAGACGGGGATAAAAAGGCAGCTGGGGCGAGTGGGGAAAATGGCAACGATTTAAGCCACATAAAACCAACAAACAGACAAACTGCCAGTTGGAGGAGTAGAAAGGTAGAGGGGGACCAAGGGCAGTCATCCTGTGGAGGAGCACTATTTACAGCCAACTGCTTGGCAACACCTTCGTTCGGGAACGGAAAACGGAATACGGAATTCTGGAATGTGAATGAGAAACGCCTGCAGTTGAGTACAAGTCAAACCAAATGGCATGGGGATATTTTTTGTTCAACGTTTAAACCAAATTTGCATAATAGTTTTTCTTTCCGTTCACTGCAAATGTGCGGAGGAGCAACTGGCATCAAAATCTAAGTGAGCATTTCCAAATTATGCAAATGTTTGCCAACTGAAAGCGAGCGACACTCACTTTAAGAGCTGCAGCATCCGTACAACGGTGCGTATGCGTATTGATTTGAGTAGCTATGCAGGGGTAAAATCAGGAATGGAATGGAAGTAAAAAGTGTATGGTTTTCTTCTGTAAATAAATTCAAGCTCTCTAACATTTTCACAGAAATTATTCGAAAAGATTGTTTCATTTAATTGTTTTTTTTATTTATTTGGGTGATCGTCACTTTAAAAACGTTTCTTTTTGTTGCATAAGAAGGTAATCACAGCATTCGAAAACCAAAGGGAAATTTTAAATAATGCCACAGTTCCACTTCTGCTCAATCTATTCCTTGATAATATTTTTTTCTTTCGAACATTCTTGCTCGTTTATTATCCCTCTACTCGTTTTCACCTAAAGCAATTTGACAGGAACACATAGTATCAGTCCTTTTTCCCCATTTTCCCTTCTTCTCTTCACTCTTTTTCTCACCTGCCTTTGCAAGTTCTCAGTTTACAGCTGAAAATCACGCCTCTGGCAATTTTAATCTCGTTTATTAGCCATTTTTCAAGTGATACACATAATTTTCAATTTTCCAATTTCTCACCCAGCGCACGAACAATTTCCACCTGCCTTTTTCTCTGGCGGCCCTTTGTTCCACAATTTCCACACCTTTTTCCCCTTCTTTCACCTATTGTCTTTATCGAACATGAAAAAATGCATTGCATATTGTATGCACGTCGAATGGGGGGTAAAGATGAGAGGAGCAGTGGGGTGGGTGGGGGTATAGGACAAACACGACGCCCATTTGGAGGCCATTAGGGCCAGGATGGTCCAGCTGGTTGGGTGCAAAAACAAGGGGCAACAACAATAACAAGGAGCCTAGGCCGAGCGGAGCGTGATGGCGCTAAAATGGCAGCCAGGTGGCGAGAAGGCACCAAAAAAGGATGGATGCTTTGGTCCAGTCTCCCGACTATTTGTTACCCTGTACTTTAAAGCATACTCCATTAAAAATTGGTCGAATAGCTTAGAAAACTGAAGATCAACTTGAACCAGGGACCGTAAATAATCATTATTTGAGATTTTTATTTTAAAAAGACTACTGTGATATTTTGATTTAAACGTCAAAAACCACGTTCTTTTTCCTCTTGTCCACAAAGTATATGCATTTCAACAAATCTGGAAAGCAAATTAACTGTTATTTGTTCATGTCTATAAAGTGCAAAAAAACCAGTTAAATTGTTGATTAAAACTTGTAAAAACCTCAGTAAGCCTTTTAAAATAAAAATCTCAAATAATGATTATTTACGGTCCTTGACTTGAACACTTTCTTTGAAATCGAACATATTTGTGTAGGTCCACAAAAGCTACCTGTTACATATGTTACAATGAATACAATCTACCTTTAAGTACACTTTCACGGGGTAAAAATATCCCTGGTGAAAAACTAATAGAAGTCAGATCGTTGCGGGCTTAGTGCCCTGTGCCCCCTTCATTTTTTTGGCCCTTTATGGAGGTTGCAAATGGAGGAATGCGAGGCGGCAACAAACTGCTCCATCTTTATGCAATGACTGCCTGCTTCCGTTGTCATCGTTTCCTGTTCCTTTGTCGCTTTTGTTGCTGCTGCTGCTTCCGGTGACGCTGCTGCATGCCACGCACTCAAAATTTTCGAATAAACGCATTGGTAATGGAGGAAATATGCTCCTCCCTCGGCGGGCTGTGTTTTTTTTTTTGCCAGCTCCAATTTAGTTCGCAACTCCTCAAAGTTGATGTTTCCTTCGCTGCATGGGGAACTTTCTTTTCCTACTTTGTTATTAGATTTGCATGCCAGCAGCGACGACGACGATGAGAATTTCCGCCTTACAATTCATGCGGAACATATGGATGCAAGTGCGTATGTGCCCTCGCATCCTAACCCTTTAGGAAGGGAAATCTTCTTCTTCGCTCCCCTTTGCCGGAAAATTGTTGCTGCAAACGTAATTGCATTTACTTTGGAATTTATGTTAGTCAACATTTTTTCGTTTTTATGCCCTTTTTTGAACTTGGAGCCAGGGGTTTGGAGATCAACGCATGACTCCATCAGACAGACAGGAGAATGCAATGGTTGCCATGGCAATCGGGTTTAGAATCACCAGATTTCTTGTTAAGTCGATTGGTTAACAAGGATATAATAATGATATAAAATGAAGAAAAAAACTTTCATTTTATTAAGATTTTAAAATAATTTGAATAAAACGTGATTAGAAATTTTTTAAAGCATTTGTTTTGTTCAAATCACAATGGTTATTATAATAATAAAAAGGAAGATTTTATAGCCATAATAAATACGTTTTGTTTTTTAATAACTTTAAATGGGTTTCAAACATTTAAGCATTTAAATTTTAATATTAACATGTGTGTGAAAAGCATTTGCATAACTTGCTTTTTGAAATCGACATTTCAGGTGTTCTTTTAACTCGCTAACAATCTGCTAAAGTCCTCCTTGCGCCCTTTGGCCCCAGAGCCTCCCCAGTTCACTTCTCAGTTCTTTTCTCTTCCTTCTGCACAGCTCGACTGCAACTTCACCTTCACTTGAAAATTGCATTTTTACCGAAATGTTTGCCTGGGAAATGTTCTATGAGAGGTGCCCAGGGAGCGGGGGGCTGAGAGGTGTGAGTGTGTGAGGGGGAAATATGAAAACAAATGGCTCCTGAGTTTCTCTGGCTTTGGCCAAGTAATCGTAAGTTTTGTTTGCTCGGGGATCGCAATGGGTTGGGGCCACAGAGGTGGGGAGCTTGAATTTATGTGCACTCTGCTCCTTGTTATTGCTCCTTTTTTTGGGCTTTTGATTTCGGTCGGTCGGAGAAAGGGGATTTTTTGGGATGTGGATACAAGCTCAAAGGCTTAGTCCAAGAGTGCAGCAGAAATCATCAAAAGAGCATGCCGCGAAAATCCCATTTCCATTATTATTATTCTTGCAAATCGTTGTCAAATTATATGTGTGTATGTCTGCTAGCATACCCGATAGTTCTACTCCTATTCCGAATCCAGTTTCGTGCGAGCACTCGCGGAAGTTAAGCCGCTTATCGCTTATCAGCTTTGTCTGCTTTGCGGATAAAAACGGCAGCAGTATTACAGTCGTACACTGTGAGAAAAGCAATAGAATATATACCATTTTAGCTCTATTTTGTATTGTAACTTTAACTTTATGTAATGTAACTTTAACTTTATGGTATTAAGTTTAAAAAACTATACGATACAAAATTATCTTTTACCCAAGAAAATATTTAAAAATGTTCAATTTGCCATTATATTTTCTATTCTTTGGACTTTGCTCATTTTGTTTTTAGTGTTGCAGAGGGAGCAGTGGTATGACCTGCAGCCTCTGGGGCAGAGATTGAGGGTCATCGGGTCATCGCTGACAGGGAGATAATAATAGTAAAGTGGAATGGTTGCGAAGGAGGAGCTCCTGGCTCACTGCAGTGCATACAAACTGGCATTGTTCTTCTTTTTCCTGGTGCGCTGACTTGCTAATCTCAATGCATCGTTCGTGGGAAACCCTAATTGATAAGCTGCCTCGCTGCCGAACCAATTTCGGTGGCCAGCACTCGGTTTAAGCTTAAAACTCATAGATTAGGGATTTTTGAATTTTTAAATTCAAATTTTATAAACTTTTTTTTTACGATGAGAAACTTTTGAATGTAGTTTATACCAGAGTTACCATTATTACACACTTTAAACCATTTAATAATCAACCATATATCAATATAACTAACTAAAACTGAGAAAAACGCTAATAGAAGGGAAATGAAAGGACCTTAGGAACAAAGAGAAGAAAAGCAGCCATAAAACATAGAGGAAACTGCAATTTGGCCCGATTGGCGTCAGCAGCGTGATTTGCAATCATTATTTACCCGAGCAGCAAACGCAATTCAATCTGTGACAGCCGCACACAAGGATTCCGATTCCGACAGTTATCCTGCGGGCGAGGTGGGTGCATCGGAGGGAGTCCCCACCCTCGTCCTCGTCCTCGATGGAAATGAACGAATTGATGTACACGCCACGCTGGCCAAATCCGGAGCAGCAGCAACAGCAGCATAAGTTGGAGCAGGAGTCGAAGTGCAAAAAAGTGTTAAGTGCTCTCACTGTTTCTTGCAGCAATCATTGTCAGCAAGCAGCCAGAACCGCAATCAGACCGCAGGAACCGAATGAGGAGGGCATTCAGAACAGAGATGTCAGATCGGACATTTTATGGCTATTTTTATAACTCTCACTTCGAACACATAAGATGTTTTTAAATTTTTCATATCTGTCAGCTTTAAAATTCATTTCCCTTTGTAAAATATGGTAATTCTAACAGCCTTTTTGTTTAAGGAATGTTAGGTAAATTTTTTGTAAACTATGGCCATCGTTATATTCCGAAATCCCAGCCATATTAAAATTATAACATAACTACTGGATAGTAATAAAATCTTTTAATTCTTCCGAAATCTTAGCACTCTTTCTTGCAACTTATAAATATGATGTCTCCAGTTCCCAACCTACTGACTTATTTAGATATTATTTGTATGAAGAAATAATATTTTTTAACGGTTCTTAAAGTGGATCTTTTTACTGTCACACGTTTAAAGCCTCTTCTACCATTATTAAATCCAATGAGAAATAATTTCTTGTTAACTATAATATTCTTTAAAAACAGTTTAAAATCTAATTAAATTTTGTAAAAAGCGGACAACACTGTTGCAAAGGGTGCAGAATTTATATGCAGCTCTAAGGTTCAATACAGCAAAGTGCAAGCAGAAAAACAAAAAAGAGTTTACACTCCATTTTTTGTTTTCTTTTTTTGTGCTGCTGCCTTTAAAATCAAATGCAAATGCAAACAACAGTTGGCATCAATCGAAGCTGTCGGGGCACGCCCCGCAGGATTCCTCCTGCCGCCCCCACTTTATTGCTGGAATTAATGATGGCAGAGGGTCTGAGACTGCTCCTTGGTTCTTGGTTTTGTGTGTTTTATGTGGAATCAAGTGGAAATTCAATTGATTTGCTTTGGCTTTGCATTTGGCTCCACAGGGGGCGGGGGGGCGTGGCGTGTTATAATAATGGACGGATGACTCTGGCCGGGATATGTGCGGCTTCAAAGGAAATCGCAAACATTCCTGGGCCAAACGCACTTGGGTGAGAAATCATTTTGTGAATATTACAGAACTACACGAACTGCTCCTTTTGCCATTTCTGGAGTTTCTGCTGGTGTCAGCATGTCAAATACGAGCGCTTCGAAGTTAACTCGGCTGCTCCCTCGCTTTGTCCAATCAATTGCAAAATTTATTTAATTAAAGGCCCAGAGAAGTCGGTGGGGCAGTCAACTGGCAGTGATGACTCTTAATGAAGTCGCAGTTGAACAGGATTATCTGCAATTTGCATACGCATGTTGCTTAATGGAATTTCTTCACTCTTCTCTTGCAGGCTAACCCACATGTAACCTGGTCCTATCTCATCCGGAAAAACGTCGATCGCCTAGGAGATTGACCCACCATGGGCGCACTGAAGCCGCTGGCGGCCATTTGGCTGCTCCTGCTCATCGCACACACTCAGGCAGTGAGAGAAAGTAATTACATTTAAATTATTAATTAATATATTGGGAAAAAATATCTTCTTTTTAGTTAAATTATCCATTTAAGTTGACCAAACATATCTTATACATACTTACATATATCCTTCGTTTTTCTTAGATCCCCTGAAGGACCCTCGCATCTGCGGTCGGCCGCAATGTGAGTCAAACAATCCCAAGTTCAGTTATGGCGAACAGATTTATAAATATGAATACACGGTGGCTGTGCGCACCGAGTTCGCCGGATCCGGTGACAATAGCTCCGACCTTCTGCTCAAGTCCAACTTGGAGATATTCTTCCCGAAGCCCTGCGAGGGCTACTTGCGGATCAACGATGCCAAGTTGTATGATAAACTGGACGAGCTGGGTGACGCGTCCAACGATAGCGAATCGTCCAACGACAAGCCCAAGGAGTACGATTACTACGATAATCTGGGCAGCGATGATCCCGAAACGGAGGACTTTGAGAGTCTGCACCCCAAGAGCATGAAACTGAACGAGGATTTGACGACCAACCTACTACGCTTCGCTTTCCACGATGGCCTCATCAGCGAGGTGTGTCCGCAGGACCAGGAGACGCCCTGGGTGCTCAACATCAAGAAAGGCATCCTGTCCGCGTTCCAGAACACCATGATGCGCTTCGACGTGGATTCCAACACAACGGAGACGGATGTTTCTGGTCAGTGCCAGGTGCAGTACGCCCTGGAGGATACCGACAGTGTTTATGTGAAGATCCGCAAGACGAAGGACATCAACTCCTGCAGACAGCGCTATGCCACCCACTCGGTGCTGCAGACCACACCGTACACTTTCCGAGATGACAAGACTATATGGCCGATTTTGAAGTCCCAGAGCCACTGCAACGTGAGTTTAGCTATAAGTTGTTGTACTATTAAACCTATTAAATATGTTTCTTTTCCAGCTGACCATTGATAACAATGTCTACCGCGAGATCAGTTGTCTGGAGACACATTTACTGGTTCCATTCTCGAATGCCAGTTCTGGAGCCCTGACCACCAGTAGCAGTCGCTTAAAGCTAAAGGGGGAGGAGCCCTACAGTGCCGGGGAGTTCTTAGAGCAGAGTATGTAAAATGAAGAATGGTTATGATACTGGATATATTTAATAGAATTTCTCTGATGCCCTGCAGATCCCGAGATGGTCGACCGACGTGCCACCCTCGTCTTTGATCACACGCCTGCCGTAAAACCCTCCCACGATGAGATTAAGGCTGCCCGAGAGCTTTTGGTCCAGATGTGCGCCGTTGGCTTTCCCAACATCAAGCGCGAGTTCATCGATGTCTTCACCAACTTCCTGCAAACCTCCAAGAGCCTCGACTACAAGACTCTAAGTGTCTTGCTCCAGAGGTCTGCTAGCACCTGTGAACAGGGCAAGTAAGTACAAAGTACACTACATTTATAAGGGTTAAAACATGGTTTAGCAAATAATTTATCTGCAGAAATCATGTGCTGGAATCCCTGCCCTACATTGGTAGCACCGCCTCGTATAAGGTGATGCGGGATCAGATTGTCAACGAAAGGCTCACCAAGCAGATGGCTTACAGCTGGATGAGGTCCCTGTCCTTCATCACACGTCCCGACGAGGAGACCCTGGAAACCTTCTACTCGATCCTCGAGTACGCCAAGAACCGACTGGATCCGGAATACACCCTCGGTGCCACGGCGGTGGTGCATAGCTTTTGCAAACATCACGAATCCTGCGAGGAGAACCTCCGAGTGCAGCAGATCATTAATCTCCTGGAGACCGAGTTCCTGAGTTTGTACAACCTGTTCAAAGGAGATCGTCGCAACCGTGAGCGTATGGTGATTCTGCTTAAAGGCTTAGGTAACATTGGTGTGGTTTCACCTGACTTCGCTGAGCAACTGCAATGGATTATCCGGGAGGATGGAGCCCCGGTGGATATTCGCCTACAGGGTATTTTGGCCTTCCGACGGGTGGACTGTCCTCGGTACCGAAGCTTCTTCTTGGACAGCTATGCCAACTACACTTTGAACTCGGAGCTGCGAATATACAGTTATCTGCAGGCCATGCGGTGTCCCGATTACATATCCGTTGGAACCATAAAATCAATCCTAGAGCATGAGCAAATCAACCAGGTGGGCTCATTCGTGTGGTCGCATCTGACCAACCTGGCCAAATCCAATTCGCCCGTTCGCATCGAGGCCCAGGGTCTGCTGCTGAACGATGAGCTGTCGGAACGCTTCAAAATGGACATCCGGAAGTTCTCGAGAAACTACGAGCACAGTTTGTTCTTCGATGAGTATAACTTCGGAACGACCACCGATGCAAATGTCATCTTTGGCACGGATTCATACTTGCCACGAATCGCCAGTCTGAACTTTACAGCCGATCTCTTTGGTCAGTCGGTGAACTTTTTTGAGTTGACTGCCCGTGCCGAGGGACTCGAGGAGCTGGCGGCCAATGCCTTTGGTCCCAAGGGTCCTTTGAGTGGTGAGCTGCTGCGCAAGAAGCTGTCGTTCTTGAATCGCTGGCTGGGCAACGAGAGTGCCGAGGAAGATGACACCCTGGAAAATCTGCTCAGCCTGGATAATCTGCGGCTGAAGAGGAAGGCCCAGCAGACTGTTCATGCCTATGAGCAGGAGGAGGACGAGGACTACGACTTCGAGGAGTCCTTGGAGGGGGCTAAGCGACACAAGCGGGATGCTAGCAGCGCTCGCAAACAGGAGATTGATCGCAATGTGGACAGTCTGGGCTACAAGCTGAAGTATGACTACAATAACCCGAGGGCACAGTTCGGTCTTCGGATCTTCGGCAACGATCTGCGCTACTACAACGTTGAGTCCATGCTGGAGGTGATGGCCCTAGCCGCCCAATTCAATCCCTTCCAGCAGGCCAAGAATGTGCTTTCTGGAAAGGAGTTCACGCACACAGATTCGCGAGTGTTTTTGGATGCCTCCTATACAGTTCCACTGGCAGTCGGTCTTCCATTGGCCATCCATGCGTTTGGAGCTTCCTCCGTGGACCTTCGCATCAGTGGTAATTTGGATGAAATGGAACCGCCCATCGATTGGCACTTTGACGTCCAAGGGAGGTTTCAAGCCCTCGGTGTCCGTGGATGTGATCACCACCATGCAGACGGATATGTTCTGGGAGCAATCGGGCATCAAGGTGAAGAGCAACCTGTACTCCAACTCGGAGCTGGTGGCCAAGCTGAAGATACGCGGTCGCAATCTGGTCTCCTTCTCCTTTGATCTGCCTCAGGATCAGAACGAGATTTTCAGCGTGCGATCGGAGCTGTTGGTCCAAAAGCGTGAGGGTGAGCTGCCCCAGGCGGGAATTGCCAAGAGGAGTGCCAACTCCACGTGCACTTGGCCCGTTCTCGATCAGGCCATCGGATTGCAGATGTGCTCCCACTTCAGTGTCCCGGATCTGAGCAATGCCACCGACATTTACCCAAGCCTCTTGCTAGCGGGTCCACTGAACTTTAGCCTGATCCTTAAGAAATCCGATCTGAGTGCCAAGAAGTACGTGTTCGAGTACAAGTGGGATCAGCAAGATGAGGACAACAACTTCTCGCTGGTGTTTACTACACCAGGCTCAAAGGTTCCGCGAGTTCTAGTGGCCAATGTGACGAAGGTAACCGATGCCTTCAATGCGTCCGTGGCTTTCGTGAACGGACCCAATCGCGTATCCGCCGGGTGCAGCTACGATGGAAACCCGGACTTCCGACGCTTGGATGTTTACCTTGATACGAATGGCAATCGATCCCTGGACCTGGGCATGGAACTAAGAAGGCACCAGGACTTCACCGCCTGGATCTACAATCCTCGCATGTTGCTAGCCATCAATGGAGTGAATATCACCGGACTAGCAGGCACTGTTAAAGTGAATGAAAAGAATGGCATCAAGCAACACGACGTGGATCTCTCCTTTGAGACCAAGAAGCTGCAGGCTGTGATCAAGGGCAACGTGGTTCAAACTGAGATAACCACTTCCACTAATATGACTGTTAAGTATAGGGTTGGTATCTTTATTCCTGTTATTTAATTTCATTTTAATTTAATACACCCGTTTTGATTTAGTTCCAAGCCAATAAAATCGAAGAGATTAACTTTGCCGGCAAGCTGGTTAACAATGGAGATAAGGCCAAGACAGAGTATCGTGGCAACATGAAACTCCAGACCTCGGCTTATCCCAAGCTAAACTTCGCATCGGATGCAACGTGGCTAAGTCTGCAGGGACACACAGAAGGCATGATCACTTATAATAATGCACCGGACTATGTAAATCCCAACTATACGAGTTTGCTTCGCTTGGTCTTCGCAAGATCCCATTCAGAGGATTCTCCTTGGGAGGGATCACGCACACGGGCAAGTCTGGAACTAAAGCTGCCAAGGTCTAAGATAGATTACCGCGTTTTGGTTAAGTGAGTTTATATTCGCAGCAGACTCTTTTGAAGCATTATTTGAATTCTCACCATTTTAAGGCACGAAGAACGCAGCAAGAACGGAACCGAGCACAATGTGATTGTGGGTTTGAAGTACGCTCCTGAGAAGGAGATCACGGGTCTGTTCTCCGTGCATTTGCCCAGACGGAACCTGTTTGCCATAGATGCTTACATGAACGTGACTGTACCAGAGTTTAATTCATGTACAGGCAGCCTAAAAGTCAATGAGAAAGCCACCAAGGACTATCTCGTAAGGATTACCTTTTAATATTTATAATTACTAATGTTATTATTAATTTTCACAACCTTTAAGATCTTCATCAATGGTTCCTGGTTTACTGGGCACTCAGTCGCGGTGAAGGCTAACTACAAGGACCGCAGCTCGCGGGTACAGGCCCTTCATCACCTAAAGATGATTGTGGAAAGTCCATCCTTCAATACAACCTCCCTCAACATCGTGTACCGCCGCAACCAGCTACTGATCTTCTACGACCTTCAGGCCAAATACGGACAGGATCCCTACGGCGTGACAATACAGTATGCAGCAAATGCCCACAATCGCAACTCCAATGCGGAGGTACGACTGAAGGTAAAGGAACGTGACTACTGGATCAATGCCAAATTGTTGTCAGAGCAGCCGAAGCTCCTGCAGCTGGAATTTCACATAGACAAGTAAGGCTAAATTATCTCCTTTAATATTTAAATACTTATTCCTCTTCAAAACCTTTAGAATTCGTGATGTGCACATTAAGGTTGGCCTACTGAATGTGGACAAGCGAAAGGAGCTCTCCCTGGAACTCAAGTGGGACGCCAACCGTGATCCCAGCCAGAGATTGGGTCTCCTTGCCGAATACAATAGCCCCGGAAATAAGCACTACGATGGAAACGTGATGCTCACCTATCCGGAGCGCACCATCAACTTTGGCTTTAACTCCTTCACCGGAGGACCCAAATACTTCGGCAAGGTTCACGCCTCCTGGAGCATCAACGAGGTGGTTGAGTTCGAGTACGATGCGGGTATCCTGCCTGGCCAGACGCTCCACAATTGGGTGAAGGCCGAGCTACGAACGCCCTTCGATGGCTGGCGCACTAATAGTCTCGATGCCGGAGTCTATAACATGAACAACCTGATCCTAATCAACTCTACCCTCTTCTGGGCAGACGATCAGAAGCTACAGGTGGGCTACAAGAGCGACTACGACATCAACGATCAGTTGACAAGCTTTGATGTTCGCTTCGGCATCAACAGCACAATCCGAGATATTCCAACGATAAATGTGAAGGTGGTGCATTGGCTGGATGCCAAGAAGGTGGACACCGAGCTTTATCTGGGCTACAGTGGACAGAACAATACCTTCAACACGTACAGCATGGACTCCAGTTGGGAGATTGAGAAGAACCAGCATTACCACAATGTTTCCGGCTTGGTGCATCTGGTTAGTCCGTTCAAGGGTTACGAGAAGGGTGGTCTGGTGGCCCAGTTCTCGCTCAGCGATCAGCGAGCGGTCAGCGGAGCAGCAGCACTTAACTTCGATGTTCGGGAGTTCACCTTGACCATGGACGGTTATGTGAAGAAGTTTACGGACAACATGCTAACCATTAACATCACCACTCCCTTGGAGAAGTTCCGCACCATCAACGGTCGCTTTGGGTTGAACGAAAGGAAACGTCATGCGGTTGCCGAGGTAAGAGCTCCCACCGCAGCTCTCGGAGTGGAGGCCTTGGCGGACATTAGGAATCTCCTGAACTTCGATGTCAAGCTGAGCCTGGCCACACCCATCGAAAGTTTCCAGCAGGCGGCGATATTCGCACAGCTAAATCCGGAGCGTGTTGATATGCGCGGCTTGTGGAACAACGTCACCCTGGGATTCACTGGCGTTTGGCACATGCAGAATATAACAGACTTTGAGTACTCCTATCTGGTATTCACACCACTGGCGGGCTTCGAGGAAAACGGATTCATTGTCCAGCTGCTGAAGAGGGACGAGTTCATCTTCCAGTTGCATGGCAAGCTGTCAAATTATAAACTAGGTGTGAAGATCAATGGCAAGCCAAAGTCGGACTTGGTCAATAAGCTGGGTAGCAACAAGATGGAGTTGGAGATGCTCTACGATGCGGACTTTAAGCCACTGAATGCCGAGACTGACTATAAGCCTGATGAGGATGAGGAGTACTTCTCGTACTTTACGGACTTCCAGGTGGACACTCTTTTGTGGCCCACTATTGTAGGCAATGTGGACATTCAGGAGATCATTGACTTCTACTTGGTTGTGGGTCATGTGCATCTGCCGCAGGGAAAATTGGAGTTCAAGGACCGCCTCCACTTCCCCGACTACCTAAATGTGCACAATCTTCTGACCGTGACTACTCCGTTTGCTGTGGCCAAGGACATCAAGTCAATCGTGGAGTACCACACCGACTTGCACTTCAACGCGTTCTATGAGCGAATCAAGTTTACAGTCAACGATGCCAAGGACCAGGTACAGGAACTGGGCTTTGAGTTTAACTACACCACACTGCAGGACAATGTGAAGCCCAAGGCGCACGATGTCCAGCTCAAACTCATCACACCCTACGAAATGCTGCGCGAAATTGACATTCATGGACGACTGGAAGTGGACGATAATGCTTATAAGGGCAACATCAGTGCGGTCACAGCGCACACACATCTCTCGATGGCAGCTTCCGTAGAGGTTAGTATTCAAGTCTTACACAAGTCAGGGTTACTTAAATCACTATCTAAAATTTCAGAACGAGGACAACTTCTTGGAAACCTCAGTGGGTATCCTGCTGGAAACGGACGTTATCCCGCACTATGCCTGCCAGGTGTACTTTAAAAAGGACTTCTCAGCCGTCGACAACGCCATAGACATTCGCTTCGAAGTTACCGACAATGGAACACTGAACCAGGTATACTCATTAAAAGTTTCCCCATAAATGTGACCAAATATTAAATGTATTCTCGAAACAGCTCCACATTACGACAGACTGGCACACCAATCCCTCTTATATCGTTAATGCCAACGGAAAGATTCGAACCACCATGCTGCCACTTCAACTGGCTTCCACTTCGATTTTGATCACTAAGGATCAAAATCCCCAGCTCAACTTCGATCTCAGCTTCCTGAGCCAGAATGGTCAGAGCATATCGTATGGAACGCGGGCCAACAAAAAGAAGGATGTCTTCAACATTGAGGTATGGACTCCTCTGAAAAACTTCCGGAACATCTCCATGCACGGTACCGTCGCTAGAAATCCCCGCGATGCTGAGCGCTACGATGTCTCAGGGTTCCTGTACCGAAATATGGCAACATATGGCGTTACGGGCGCTGTTCGCATGTCCAAGAGTCTGCCCATCGATGCCACTTTAAGGGTGCAGCCCAAAGCCGGAGGACGAGATGGTGTGATCGAGTTGAATATCCACGAGGAGGGACCGAAGAAGATTGGCTTCTCCTTTAGCGCCATCGAGGATGGTAAGATGTGCCAGATCTCGGGAGGTTACAGTATCAGCGAGAGCAATGGAGCCATGGACTTCTCTGTTCTGGTGGAGAGCACGGAGCCGGAAATCGCGCGAATCAACTTTAATGGCAATCTGAAGCCCAGCTCCACGGGTTCACTTGTGGGTGACCTGAACTTGGAGACTCCCTGGAAGTCGCTCGGCATCGATTCGGTGCACCTGCACTCGGATGTGGGTGTTGGCAGCAAGGGCGGCAACATGGTGGGTGAATATAAGATCGGTCAGTATGTCGGACGAGGTAGTTGCATGTGGTCCTGGATTCTGGGCGAGAATCTGCAACTGGTGCTGGAGAGCTACTTGGAGAGGCCGAGTGCCCAACCGAGAATCGTCCATGCCAGTGCCAAGTACCTGAACCCGGGACAGACCTTTGCTCAACTGCAGGCTGGTGGTCGCCTCAGTGTCGATTCCAAATGGAACCTCGATGTGAATGGCAGTGTGCACTATAAATCCGTTGATGACTTCGACTTTAGAGTCATTACCGAGTTGCCTTTACCCGTTGGAGATCGTCACCTGCTGAGTGCTCGCTACCAGGGTAATGTGATAAGCAAACAGTTTATCGATCCTGACTTTGTCTTCGAAGCGAGTTACGAGGGTTTGGAGGCTGAGAACAAGCTACTGTCCCGAGTTTCCTATCGAAATACAACCAACAACCTCAAGGGCGTGGGTCACGTCGAATGGGGCAAGCTGAAGAGCTTGTCTATTGTGGAGGGAGATTTCGAGCTGCTGCAGAAGCCAGGAGCCCGCCGAGAGTTCTATGCCAAGATGATCACGCCCAAGTTCAAGGATGAGCACACGTTTGCCCTGACCGGACACTACGACAAGGAGAATGCGGATTACCACAACTTGGTGTGTGCCCTGGACTATCCGGCCAGTCGTCGAATCACTGATCTGGATGTCTCCTTTAGTTCGCTGAGCAATATGCATGGCAACTTCAACAGCACAATGCCCTCCTTCCTCAACGTCAGTTGGTTCAAGTCGGACTTTAATTTCACCACCAAAAAGTGAGTTTAAAAAAAAAAAAAAAAATCTAATTATATCCGACTTGCTAATGCTTTGTTCTTCCTTTCACAGTGGAAAGAGCTATCGCTACTGCCGCTGCTTTTGGCCTCAGGACTCCGCCTACTTCAAGTTCAACAGCAACTACGACAGCGACAGCAACAATGTTAACCACAAGATCAATGGCAATTTGGAAGTTGAGGTACCACTGGCCACTCGCCATCGAGCGGATGTGTTTTATGACTTGCAGAAGATTCGCAACGAGAATCTAGGAGAAGTCAAGGTCCTGTACAACGAGAAACAGGTGCTGCATGGCAATTACAAGCGGGTGGAGCAACAGAAGCACCCCATCTACAAGGAGACCACGGATATATCGCTTGAGAACGAAGTGAAACCCCTGGGAATTCACTATGTCAGCACCAGAGATGCTAGCGATCCTGAGGGAACCCAGGACGTAAAGCACTTTGAGGTGTTCGAGCTGAGAAACACGCAGAACTTTAACCTTACCGGTGAGCTGCATTCGAGGACGACTCTCAAGGCCCAGGACTTCAAGGTGGTGGCCATTCATCCTAACCGAGCCGTAATTCTGAGCACCAAATACGAGGACGTCAGTCCCGAGGTGGTGAGGCAGCACACCAAGTTGGAGCTCTCAGAGACCGCCTGGATAGGATACAACCTGGAGCTGGGTAACTTTAGCAAGGTAGGTAGACATTGACCATAGGAAAACTTGCTTGAAGTGTGTAATAATGTTATTTCTCAACCACATAGGTTGGCAACGAGTCCCAGAGCTTCGCCTTGGACATCTTCTATCCAAAGCGCAATCTCTCCTCCTCCGGCCAGTACTACATGACGGACACGCACTTCAACTCGGACCTGACCTTCCAGTGGCTAGGCGGCAACTCGGCCGAACAGCCCAAGGAGATTCGCAGCAACCTGCAATGGACGGCGGAGCCCTTGCGTCGTGGTGATCGCGAACATCGCACTTTTGCGTTGACAGTGGCACATCCTCTGCTGGAAAAGGACATTAACTGCAAGGCGACGTACTACCGCGGATTGCAGGATCTCCTGAGGACCCACTTGACTATCGACTATTCGGAATATGAAGACCAACTTATTGAGCTGGGTGCTCAGCTGACCGATAGGTACACTGAACTAGGCCACACGAACTACACCTTCAAGGTGTATGGAAAGCATAGGGCTTCCGAGCTGGACGTTCAGCTCAATGGCACTTTGGCGGCCAGGAACTCCTACTACAAGACGGAGTCCACGGCCCACTACAAACGTGATATCTTCCCAGCGAGATACGGCAAGTTCCTGGCCCTGCTGGACGTCAACAAGCGGGAAGTGGAGTACGAACGCCAGTCACCTTTCCACACAGTGCGTTTGCATCTGCTGCCCACCATCCGGTATCCCATTTACGGTCTGAATGCCACCATCTGGGATACTCCTGATACAAACCACTCGGGATACATCTACGCTGATCTCTTGGAGCGCTATGCTCGCATGGACTTCAACCTCACGGAGGATGCCAGTCAGAACCTGCAAATGGTGGGTTACATTCCGGACACACGAAGTGCCTTCCTGGACATTTGGCGGAACTACGAGGAGATCCGTGTGATCGACGTTAGTTCGTACCTTAAGATGAATCACTCGCGACTAATTACCGGTCGCTTCCATTGGCGTCCGTCTATCCGGCAAGAGGTCCGCGAGAAAATCCAAGCGGTGGGCAAATCAGTCTACAGCTCCTTCTCCGAGGGAATTGACTTTTGGATCAAGTCCATCTACACCGAAACTACGGAGTCAATGGGCGTGGTATGGAGCACAGCCAAGGAGTACAACAAGGACTTCATTGAGGACATTGGTCATCTGAGTGTTTTGGAGGAGGACCTCGCCGATCTGCGGCTGTTTGTGAATCAGTCGTACGAAGCGAATGATTTCTATATCAAGAACGTGGTTAACTTCACGCTGACCATCCTCGATGAGTTGGCAATCAGGGATCACATCGAATCGCTGCCCAAGATCTTCTCCGAGTTGTGGCAGGCGATGGGAGATTCCGGAAAGGCTCTGCGCAACAGCATCGTGTGGCTGATCGATACCATAAAGAGCACCTACAACAACCTACTGGATGCGGTGGCTCGATTCTTCCACGGCGAGAGTCTCACCTACATATCCGGTCTGCTGGAGAAGGGCATTGCGAAGTACGACAGCTTTGTCAAGGATTTGCACATCAAGTTTATTAAGTATATAGAGAATTTGTGGCACAAGACTTGGTCCTTGGCGGAGAATCACTGGAAGGCAGTCCTCAAGCGCTTTGAGCCGCATCTCTTCAAGATGATCAGCTTCATAGAGACCACTGCCTGGAATCTCAGCAAGGAGGTGTTTGATTTCATATACAAACGTACCAACGAACTGGCCGAGTCCCCGTACTTCAACAAGGTCTCTAGCTTTACGGCTGATGCGGAACGACTTTACCGGGATTTCAAGGCCAACGATGCGATTACCAACATCAAGAAGTATTCAACGCTGGCTTGGAATTTCGTCAAGGAGAAGTACTTCAAGCTGGTGCCCTTCGGCGCGGAATTAAACGAGGTTCTCACCGAAATCTGGCAGGAAATCAAGGAGCTCGAGAAAATCGATCAGGTGCAGATAATGGTGCAGAAGTACTACGAAGTTATGGCCAAGGTGGAGTGGGTGGCCGATGAACTGCAGCTGGAGCATCGTCTTCATCAGGTTTACGGTCTGCTGAGGAACAAGTTCCGCAACTATGCCATGAACGCCTTGGAAACCGCCGATATGTACAGGGAAGCCAAGACCAAGTTCGTTTTTGATCCCGTGGTGGGTATTATCGACATCGAGCAAAAGTTGCCCATGTCCTGGCACGCGTTCAACGAAACGCCCAAGTTCGAGGAGATTCCCGAGTACCAAGTGCTGGCCAAGGCGCAGAGTTTCTTCAGTGAGACCAACTCGTCGATCGTCATGAAGCTCTACAACATGCGCACCCATCTGGATCCCAAGACCTGGCTGCCACCCTACTACTGTAAGTGAATGAGGGGTAACTAATTTGATAGTTAGTAAAATTATTTTATTTTTCAGCTCGCGCCTTGCTTATTGACTCACGGCACTATATGACCTTTGACCAGCGCTATGTGGGTCTGAACCTCAACTTTGATGAGTTTGGAAACGGACGACCGAATTCCCAGTGCAGCTATCTGCTGGCCCACGATTTCTTCAAGCGGAACTTCACTTTACTTCTGGAGCCAGCGGTGGGTACTAGGAAATCTTATTTAATTGCTTTATAATAGTTAATACTTAAATTTCCAGAGCAAATCCCTGGCTGGTCAAGGACTAACACGCAAACTGAGCTTCATTGCCAACGATCAACTGATTGAAATTGACCTGGGCACAGATGTGAGTCAAGTGATCTATTGAATACTTTTAAATTCTCATTTATTTATTGTATATCCAGCACATAAGCATCAATGGTAATCCACAACCCATCCTGCCGCTTAAACTGGGACCTGTGAACATCCATCGTGATCTAGACGTACTCTCCATTACCTCGGACACCGAGTTCAGCCTGCACTGCAATGTTCAGTTCGACCTATGTTGGTTCGAGGTGAGTGGTTGGTACTTTGCCAGGACGGCGGGACTGCTGGGAACCCTGAACAACGAGCCCTACGACGAGTTCACCATGTCCAATAGCGTCATCTCCAATGAGACGCAGCAGTTCACGGATTCGTGGAGCCTGAAGCAGTGCAGGCAGACGCAGTTGGCCCAAACCCAAGAGGTCAGCAAGGAGGTGAGTGACACCTGCACCAGCTTCTTCCGCACTGGCATCCTGGCGCCGTGCAGTGCGGTCATTGACCCCAGTCCCTTCTACGATATGTGCCTGGACTTGGGCATGAAATCGCCGCCAATTCGAAAAGGACATCCGGCTGTCAAGGGCGCCTGTGCCGCAGCTTTGGCTTACATCGAGGCCTGTACAGCGCTGAAGGTTCCGATGCGTGTGCCCTCGCAGTGTGTGTTGTAAGTTAAACAATATCTTCTAACTTAAGTTCCTTAATTGAATTGTTGACCCTTTAAGCTGTGAACTCTCCAATGGTTCCTATGTCCCTGAGGGCACTTTCATGGAGCTGTCAGGCGCTGAGATTCCCAGGAGCAGCGATGTGGTCTTTATTGTAGAGGCCAAGGATTGCAATGCCAACCTGAAGACTTCCAAAAGCATTATGACAGTGGTTAGCAGCATAGAAGAACAGCTGCAGGCGGCTAAGCTAACGAATAATCGGTGGGTATTTCTATAAACCATTTCACCATAGATATTTTTTAACAGTTTCCCATTTCGAAACCCTAGCTATGCTGTGGTGGCCTTTGGAGGAGTGGCCCCCTACGACAAGGCCAGGAGTGTTATTTACGAACACAATGAGTTCACCTCCAAGCCGGATCAGCTGGCGGACTATTTTGGTCACATCAACACCGGAAATGGCAGCAGCAACGACATCCTAATGGCCATTTCCGCTGCCGCCAAGCTCAACTTCCGTCCGGGCGTTTCGAAGACCTTCATCCTGCTCTCCTGCAGCAAATGTGCCGCCAGGGACATGCGATTCGACTACACCTCCATTCTGCAATATATGCTGGAGGAGGGCATCAACCTGCACATCCTGGCGGATACGGAGTTCGACTTTGAGCGCAGCAAGAAGCTGCGTCACTTCTTCGGTCTGGACAGCAAGCTGGTCTACTCGAAGCGTTTCCCCGAGGGAGATGCGGAGACCCGCAATACGACCCACATTCCCAAGAGCAACTTGGGCATCTGCACAACACTCGCGGTGGAGACCCAGGGATCGGTGTTCAGTGCTCGAAAGCTGCAGCCGGAGCGAAAGTATCCCATCAAGCGATTCGCCACCATTTTCGCCAAGCGCGTCGCCCTCAGTGCCACGCCCATTCAGAGCCAGACCTGCGAGTGCTCCGCCCACAACACGGGCGTCTCCTACATGGCCTGCTCGCCACAGGCTCTGCCAGAGGAGAAGTACGACCTGGACGACTATGTAAGTTGAGATGGGAAAGGAGAGTAGATTTGGAACATATTTATTGCAGCTTTAACTATCCTAGTGCTACAAAATTGTCTTTAATGTGTGTGGGACTTTTATACAAACTTTTATAATATAAAAATTAAAAATTTGTTGTTTTCTTAATTAAATTAAATGAACATATTTAAATTTGTAAATGTTATTCTTTATATTTTAATATTTATATTATTCAACACTGATTTCTTGAATTTTTACTCTAAATTATTTATTTAATTTGAAAGGTGTGTAGAAATGTTTATAAATAACTGAAAATTACTCACTCCAAATGCCAGTAATTGCATTTCATTTAATAAACTAAATAATAGTGGTTTTGAAGTAACATTTGTTTTGGATTTTTGTCACCTTAAGATGTTATCAGACTTTTGTCGTAGAGAATGACACTAGTATCTCAGTTAAATAACTTTTTAGTAGTGGTTTCTTTTTAATATATATTCTTCAATTTATTAATTCGTATTATATTTTAATAATATAATATTTAATTCAAAATTTTCTCATTTTTCAGGACTCCTTCAACAACTGGGACTGGGGAGACGAACCGGAGGGCGAGGCCAATGTAATGTCGTAGTTCTTAGTGCGCCGCTATTAGTTATTTAGTTCAGTTATGTCCCTGCAGAATGTAAGGTTTTTCTAATGCATAACCGACAGGCATATTTTGTAAAAATAAATCAACCTATAAAGCCAAAGAGCAACCGCATTTAGTGTCTTGACTTCCAATCGATAGCTGGCCAAAGTTAACGAGCGACACGCCCGACCAGTTTTCTGCTTCCTATTCATTGTCTGCGGCAATCTCGGCCGCTGATTAAAAGTTGCCCGACCGCCTGAAGCACAGCAGCAGCGGCAACAGTTGCATGCTGCATGTTGCATGTTGCAAGTGACTATCACTTTTGCAGCTGCAACGGCCACGGCCACGGTTGACGGAAACGGCGGCAGAACTCAAGTACGTGTAACAACCTTAACCCTAAAGCGAGCCGAGACGGAATGGACCATGTCCGCTCACTCGAACCACTTGATACCCAGTTGAACCCAATTTGTTGTCATAACATTTCCCTGGAAAGGCGCACAATGGAAATTATGCGAGTCGAGTGGTAATGCAATACTTTCTATTTCAATGCTATGGTTACATCAACCGGCCGTCCTAGGCCCAATTGCGAATCTTTCACTTTTGGGCGAGCTATAAAAACTATAAAAACCAGCGGACAGATGGCAACCATTCGCATTGCTGCACTGAGATCCGGCCAGGTAGTTACAAGCACTAATAAGATGTGGAGATTCGTAAGTTCCGCCAGAAGTTGGATAGACCTTCGATCCGTATTTCATCTGTGGTATCTCCTTTAGCTACTGATTTGCAGTATTCAGCTGATTTGCGCCTCGGAGCACAGTGGCGAAGGATATGGTGGGGGTTACGGCTACGGAGGAAGTGGCGGAGGAGGCAGTGGATCCGGGGGCAGCGGCGGAGGAGGCGACTTCCACCACCACACACCCACCACATATTCGGAGATCTCGAAGCATGTGCCGGTTCATGTGATCGAGAAGGTGCCGCTGCCCATTCCGCATCCGGTGGCCGTCCAGGTGCCCAATGTGATCCGGCTGCAGATTCCGGAACCCTATGCCGTCCACGTGCCCGTCCAGCAGGAGATCCAAGTGCCGGTCTACAAAATAGTGCCCGAAATAACCGAAAGGAAGATCCCCTACACCGTGGAGAAGCCATATCCCGTGGAGGTGGAGAAGCCGTATCCCGTCGAGGTTATCAAGCAGATCAAGATTCCGGTGCCGAAGCCCTATCCTGTTCCCATTACCATCTACAAGCATGTCCTGCAAAAGGAGCATGGCTGGTAATTGCGGTAGTCGTCGGTTTTTAGGTGTGTAAGTACTAGGATGCCAGCTCTTAATCCCCAGAGTATTAAATTACTATTATAATGAGTAATTAAATATAGATTTTAAGCTAAAAATGCGTGTTTTAATTGGGATTTTTGAAGAGAGTACACGAGAGATTTCCATTTTTATTTTTATGGGAAAGGAAGGACCTCGAAAATGATATAGAAATGAAAATCTACAACTGATAAACCATACAGCTTTTATCCATTTATTTATTCGGATAAAGGTTTTCTTCTCTACTAAATTGTTTTCCGAAGCTTAAAGTGTTTTCGAAAAGAAGGTAAAGGTAGAATAGAATAATATTAATTACATGTAGATAATATATTTTCCAAAAGCGGAAGTGAAACTGGAAAAAGCTTTTGCGAACTTTTCTGGCCCAAGCTTAATTCCTGAAAACTCCAAAGCTTTTTTAACAGTCCTTCCTTGTAATGGCGGCAAGGTGCGTATACACATTCCCACCCACAAGGGAATTACATATACACAAACCTCGCAGGTTCGTTAAACTTTTCGGAATTGATTGACGCCTGTGTGGGAAAGTGTAGGGCAGGTTTTTCTCAAACCGATGACGTGCGCACACTCCACACTCCACACCCACCCGATAAGCGCACCCACGCCTCCTCATCCGGTCAGGTGTTGCTAGGGTTTATATCCTGTATGTCCTTGAAGGAGACAAACACTGGACGTGCGGGCAACTTTTCCGCGATTGTCAATGATTTCCATTTGTTGCACGCCTTAAGTGAAGTCATTTCCACTCCCAATCCCATTCCCATTCCACCCAGCAGTCAGTGAGTCAGTCAGTCAGTCAGTTAATCAGTCAGTCAATCAAGCGCAGCTGCCGCAAATTATTTATGCACAACTTGTAGCTCCACACGCACACGCCTGGTGAGCAAAATGTATCCAAAGGATATATGCAGTACGCCATATAGAGTATGTGTGTGCACAATGTGTTTGCCTACGTGTCGGGAACTTTAATTTCATTCACATCCCAACAGCCACACACATGCTAGAATAGTTTATCCATTTGTTCTTCAAATCTTATCTTTCCCTACACTTTCTATTTATGTACAACTTGCAAAGTTTTGTCTTAGCGGAAGCAGAGTAAATGAAAAGTAATAGAAATTGCTCGAGTGCTCGCATACATTATTCTACGTAAAATCAGCAAAACTTTTTCGTAATTAAATTCTGACACACCCAGGGTTTTCATTTCCATTTTCCAACCGTGGGTCAGGTTCAGGTGGGTTGAGTGGGTGGGCTGGCATTTAATTAATTATGAAAATATTCCAAATTGTTCGCCTGGTCGGATAAACTTTGCTTTTAACCAGCACCAAATGGTCCAAATGCAATTGTTGATTTATGCTCTTTGCATTCTCCGCCCAATGCCATTTGCTTCATTCATCAATTCATTTGGAAAATTTGGTAATTGCACTGACCGATGAAACGATAATTGACACATCCAGTGTGTTTGCCGTTGTGGTTTCGAATGCACATTTGGCCAGGGCGCCAAATGTGCATATCGCAGTTGACAAGCCTCGGGTTTTAGGCAATTACTGTTTGTCAAAGGATAGACGGACTTGAATTCCCCAAAATAATGGCATTTGCGCTCATTGGGGAGTGATTACAAACGCAGGTGTGCTTAATGGACTTATTGGAATAATTTAGTTATCATTGTATTGATATTGATTAAAATATTTAATTTATGAGGGAAAAATCGCAATAAATTTCATAATACGGAGATTAAATAATATCCCATATTTCAATTGTTAATGAGTTAAAACTATACTTAAACTGCATTATTTGTGTGTATGGTTTAATATTAATTATTCAAAATTAATAATCATAATGTATAAGCTTTTAAAATATTTTTTCGTCTTTGAATTTTTCAGTCCGAAAAATTAAATAAAGTTAAATGGAAAATCTCTAACGTACGAATGCATTTTCTTTCCATAATTACTACGCCACAGCCTGTGAAAGCCCATTACTGTACTTTTGGCTACATTTGATCCCACAATGAGTGGCAGAAAGCCAGCCAGCCGACGATTACCACTTCCTTGGGCCACATGTGGCAATTGAATCTATGTATGTGGCCTAAGCCCCAACATAATATGCGAAAGCCGGACCCCGAATTCCGGCTCCCCTGTCTATCCAATCGATTGGCGCATAAAATGCAAATTAAATTGTCGGAACATTTGGTATTACAGCAGCCAAAGCTCTCAGCCAATGAGCTTAGCCAAAGTCTGGCAAACAAATTTACAATGCTAAGCTCATGTGGAGGGCTGGCGGAGTGAGGTGAGCTGGTGTTTCGGGGAGGCATACATACAGATGTAGAAGATGTACAGATGCGAAAGGGGAAACTTTTTGGATTCGTGGAATTAATTTAAGTTAATTGATTTTTCTGCCAGAAGCTTTGCACGTGCAAGACTTTTCCGCACTCAGACAGAAGCAGACAGGCAATCGAAGAGGAAAAGGAAATCGAGGAGGGAAAATGGAGGACGAGGGCCGGAAATTGACAACTGCCTCGAGTGTTGAGTTGTTAGGGAAATACAGACATTTCCATGGCCCATTCACATTATCGCCCAGTTTTCCATTGAGACATCATATGTGTCCTTCTGCCTGACAGGTGGACGTGGCCCTTGATGGACTTTTAGGAGCAGCCCCATTTCCCTCTTTCCATTTTCCAGCTGCCATCCATCTGGGATATATATAGCCTGCGTTCGTTGGCTAAAACCAGCGGCCAAGGCATTACTAACGCCGAATTAATCAATTGCCCAGCGATTCGAGTTGCCTTCATTTTGTTATTTTTAAGCATTTCAAAGGCTGCACTCGCAGAAAAACAGAGTCGGCTGGCTTTCCCTGGAACCGACCGCTCGTCCTGTCTAATGAGCTGTAAAGTGGTGTGAATGCATGAGGTCCTTTGAAGGAGCGCTCCTAGATGGCAATGTGGAAAATCCCTCTGGCAGAATTATTGATCGGCTGTTGAGCATGTGTATACTACCTATCCCTGTTCTTAATTTGTCATTGATGAGCTAATCTTTCTTTAAAGAAAATCCTTATGTGCTACTTGTAGTTATTCCCCTTAATTCCATTGAAAATAAACACTATCTGAAATCCCATTTCTTTGGGCGCTAAAAAAAGCCTTTACTGCAGGCACTTTACCAGCAGAGTCAGGAATAACCATTAAAAATTGTATAAAAATATGAATCAATGGCGAATCACAAAGCCAAAGCCAATTTCTCTTCCCTCTTTCTGGCTAAATCCCCTGCAGAAAGTAAAATTGAATGGTGAAGAGGGGCCGCACTAAAGTCATAAAAGTCGCGTGGACCAAATTAGGAGGAATTCTGTGCTGTTTGTAAAGGAGAGCAGAAGGAAGGAATGCTCTGGACTGGCACTCCTCCCTGCCTTGTTCTCCTGGTACTTTATGTGCACAACAATTTTAAATGACTTTCAGGAGGCGACCCGGGACACACTCACATACAGACAGATACACACACACATACAGACGAGCACACAGGAGCAGCAGCCGAAAGTAACAGATAAGATTAGACGCCCAAGCCAGTGACAACAGGCGTCGTCAAGATGGCGCTCCACGCCCACATTGCGTATGCGCGCTCATCTACACTGCGAGATAGTATGTGACCCCAAGAAAAACTTACAAACTCCCCGGTCTAAAGGGGGAACTCTCATTTATTTCTGAAGTATTGACCCATGACAGTGCAATGCAATATTGATCTCCTTTTAGCTTAAACACTTCCTACTGAAAATCGTTAGTAAAATTCAAGAACCGCTTATGTACATAAAAAGCAGCTAAAAATAGAAGTCCATAATAAAATCGAAATTAAATGTACCTATTTTACACCCAAAAAAAAAATCGACTGAAATCGGCCTTGGTTTTAGAAAATCGCCTATGAATTTGCTTCACTGGCGATTTTGTCTATATTAAAGAAAGTAGGTTTTTAAAATCAAAGAAGTTTTTTCCTAAAATCAAAAAAAAATAGACTGCAATTTAGAAATTTTTTGCTAGAAAGTAAAAAAATATTTCTTCGAATTTAGAAATAAAGGTTTTCTAAAAAATTGAAATACGGTTTTTTTTAAATATAGACAAATATGTTTTAAGTAACAAAAAAAAATTTATTAAATTCAGAAAATACAAAAATCTATTTTCGGGCTTCGGAATTATACCCGGTTGTTTCTGTGACGCCACGGCCTTTGTATTGTTTTTTTTTCGTTCTTGGTTGTCACCATATTTGATTTTCCTTTAATTGACCACATGGGTGGTTTCAAATTTAAACTGTAATAATAACTGAAATGAGTATACAAATTACAAATTATAAATATAAAAACCCAATAACTTACTATTTTGAGAAAAACATCTTGGTCGCCGCACGCGGGAATCGAACCGCTAACCGCTCGCCTCACAGTTTGTAGTCAAGCACTCTACTAGCTGCGCCACGGAAGCATCACGTGAGGCGCTGTACAAAGTCTATTCACATTTTGTTCTCCTATTTTTACTCAAATTGATCTGGCTCTCTTCTGGTTATTCCTTTTAGTTGTTCATTTAATTTTGCTCTTAAATATTTATTGATTAATAATAATATTTATTATGGTTCAATAGTAACAGTAATTGAATGTTTCAAATTTGAAAAACTTAAACATCATTTTTATCAAAATATAATTATTCATGAGCTAAAAAAAAAATGCAATACATTTTTTTTATTAATATGTAACTATTAGTGTTAAAAAAAAAACAAAAAGACACCATTAGTTTTTCGTCTCGACGTGGGTTTGAACTCACTCTTGCAGCCGCACGCTTGAATAACATATGCATGCACGCACGCGTTAGACCCCTAGGCTACCAATCCCGAAAATTTTCTTCGATTAATAGCGATTTTTTCTTAGGCTAAAAAATAATTTTCTAAAAAGTATATAAGAAGGGAAATCGATCAAATACGGTTAAATTTTTTATTTTCTAGAAAAATATTTCTTAATATCACACATTTTTTTCTAAATGTTAGAAAAATTTTCAAA